AGCCAAGGTGCCTCATCCTCATCAGCCAATGCCCAAAAGGCATTGTGGAGCAGAACCATGGTGGCTTATGAGACTACCTCACCTGCTCACCAGCTCATACCCATTCTGAGCCCAAATGTTACCAGCCAGTTCCTCTCATCCCTCATGGTCCAATAGACTGTTCCTCTCACCAGGACTCTAGCCTCATGCTCATCAGCTCATCCCCTCTCAAACCTTCATGGTCCAATGGTCTCATACCACATTATTCAGGGGGAGTGGACCTCATGAGTGGTTATCTCATTCCTTGTTGACCTTGTTGACCTACCATGTGGGGGGGGGGTTTATTAATCCGGTCTTGTCATTACCTACTTTACCAGTTTTGTTCTAATTTTCTATAGCTTTCCATTGATGTAACTTCGCCATTCCACAGGCGTGCCCGCGACCTCCTGTCCTCCTGAAGACCAGGAGGCAGCAAGAGGGCAGTTGGATGCCTTACTTGTATGTAGCCTTAGCCCCCATAGCCGCGTCGAGGGCAGGAGGATAAGTCCTTGAGCATTTTGTCCAGGCATTTCAGGAGTACACCGGTGGCACACCTTTGACCTTCAGAGCGACTCAGAAAAGTTAAGAATGGCTGTTGATGTTGTCAACTGGCCAAGGCTTAGAGAGCTTGAGCTCTCTTCCCAAATTTCCTGTGCTACAGGAACATCTGTGGGATCGCTTTGAAGCGATTTGGGGGCGGCGAATCGGACCTTCGCGAAAGATGCTGGAGGAGATCTGAAGCCTTACTTTGACTTTGCTTCAGTCTGTGCACGCTCACTCTGGCAGGGTTTCATTTGCTGCATGCGAGAGCGTGCTCAACTGGAACGTCAGTACGCTAGGCACAGATTTGAAGCGAAAGATTTGATTGGCCGCGAATTCAGCAATCCTGCAGGGGCCTTCTGCATAGCCTTGCAAAGCTACAGCAGACCACATCAGAAGGAGCAGTGGCCCCAGCACCAAGACGTCACCAAAGGATGTTTCAAATCCATGAGTTTGTTCTTGGTTCCAATAATTGGTACATTTTGGAGTTGGACCTGCTTCAACAAAGTTGAAAATTGGTTGGCTCAGGCTATACCTTTGCCGCTTGAGGCGGTGATGAGCAACTTGCAACATCGAGCAGAACAGCCACGGACTCAGCGCCTAGCTTGGAGCCAAGCCAAGCTTCGGATCGGCAAGGTGTGCTGTGCTCGCAGAGGAGATTGACCAGGAGTCGTTACTGATTTGCTTCTTGTTACAGTACTAGTAGTAAGAATGCTACTAGTAGTAATGCCCTTGTTACTAGTAGCGATGCCCTTGTTACTAGTAGCTTCTTGTTACTAGTAGTAAGGCCAGGAGCTACTTATCGCTTCTTGCTCCTAGTAGCGATGCCGCGATGACCTTGTTACTAGTAGCTTATCTAAGTGCTTTCAGAAACACCAAACGTGTTGCCAAACTGCTTGTAGTTTTTACTGTGAATGGATTGTTGAATACAAGTTCCGCTGCCATTTTTGCCCCCCGTAAGTCACCACCGACGGTGACATGGACGGATTCAAAGATACTCATGTGAATCCCATGCGGTACGATTATCGTATGAGATGAGCACAGAAACACCGGCAGTCAAGGACTGTCAAAAATGGCCAAAGACTGTTTGGGACTTGAAGTGTCCTTTGTCTTGGCAATGCTTCTCCTTTCATGTGATGTGAAAGCTGATGACTACGGACTGGAAGAGGCAGGAGTAGATGCTTGGAATGCGCTGATGGAGAATAATTGGAAACCTGGCTATATCGGCGACTCGAAAACCAGCCTCCCCATGCGTGACTTGCCGTGTGAAGGACCTGGAACTACCTTGGAGACTTTACCTGGACTAACTTGGGCTGAAGTGAAGGCTATGCTGCACAGTCGCAAGGAATCGAAGGTAGACAGTCGGGAACTGACGATGATTGTCTCGAACATTCAAAAAGCCGAATCAGATCACTGTTGTTTGGGCATCGTGACTACGTCGGCATACTTGCTGCCGATTACAATGCCAAAGCCGCGAAATATGGCAAGGGTCCTGTCAACAGAGCTCAATTTCCTGCTCTTAAATATAACATTTTTTGAGACTCTATACAGTGGCTTCCCTGTATTTGGAGTCTATGATGATTTGTCGACCTTGGAATTTCGGACTTGGTTCCATTCACAGGAGTTTTTGGAATACTTTGAAGCCTTGCCAGCGACGTCTTCTTGCCATGTCTCAACAGCCCGAAACCTCCAAGTGGAGCTTGGCAAGATGCGCCAATTGGAGCATGATCAGCGTGGGCAAACTGAAGCAACTGAAGTGAAAGTGCTGAGTGAAGGCAAAATCCCTGAGCTTCGCTCTTTTCCTTTAAGAGCTTCGCAATTTCGTCCTTTGATGCGCCTTGCTGTTGAAGTCTTCGATAGCGCCGCGGCGCAGTGCCGCCCAGCAGCAGCTGCTGCTGCGCTTGTTCTGGCTGCGGCCAAAATCCAGGCCTGGAGCAATTTCAAAGCGAATTTAGCATGATGATGTTGATTTGGTTCCTGTATAATTGTAATTGTAATCTGATCGAAGAATGAACATAGCGACTGCTTCTGCTACCGCTACCGGTTCCCCTGATACTTTGAACAACTTGCTTGGCAGGCGTTTCTTGATGGGCCACAATTGCGGAAGTCCAAAGTGCTTTGACAGCAAGAATAATGTACTAGGATAGAATATGGGTATCATCCTGAGAAATCGCTGGTGACAGGAATCATTCTCGCCCTTGAAAGTCTAGGCGAAGAAAGCTGTGCTACGTGACGTGCTTGAGCTGGTGACAAAAGCTGAAGATCTCATAAAGACCTACAGTGTTTGCCTCAGGGGCTACTTTTGTTCGCTTCTGGAAAGCCTGTGGTTATAATGTTTTTGCAGTCGCCGAGCCAAGGCTGGCATGAAGGAGTTGCTTTTGGCACTTTGGTGGGGAGCGAGTGGAACTTTTGGTGGGTACTGCAGCATTTGCAGCTGGTGTGGAGCTCAAAGATCTTAAAGGATTGTGAAACAACAAACATTCATGGGATCTTAAATGGTTCACAGCATTCTTCTTAGTGTGTGGCCCAGGACTTGCAACGGATTTTTCCTGACCTATGGGCCTTGCCACCATGACTACTGCTCCAGACATCAGAAGACCCACTCCGGTGGACAGCAGCGACATTGAAAGCTTCAGCCCCTTGGTGAGGTGAGACAAGCATTGGTGCCCGCCGGTGCCCCGAGACTTGCACATGAGATGAAGCGTGGGGGTGGCTTCTTCAGTGCAGTGCACCTGAATTTCGGCTCAGCCATAGCGATTGTTGGCGTGAACTTCTGAGCATTTGCAGCACTATGAAACACTACTGTCCAAAGCAAGCAGCTAGAAGCAGCTTCACATCCAGAGCTGCGCTCCATCGAGAGCTGCTCCCCCCAAAAACGACCACGCAGAAGGCTGCTTCAAAATGTCGTTGAAAAGCTTTGCATTAGAACCCAGTCAACAATCCTGTGGCTAACTTGGACCCTTCAAGATAGGTGGAAACTGGACATGTGTCAGGATGTGGCTGATACCGTTGAGCGGATGCTGGAGCAACATGCAGAGGTGCGCTGCGCACCTGCTTTATGCTCCCTTTGCCATGCGCTTGTTTGAATCCTTGTTGGAGCTAGCGTCGCTGTTAGCAGAAAACACTATTTTTTCTCTGCGTGATCTTCACTTGCATGTGTGCATTGGATGGGGTGGGGATGGGGTTGGGGTGGGATGATGTTAACGTTCATATGAAGTTTGCTTCGGACTTGATGCTACGCTTTGGATGGGGGTGGGGTGGGGTGATGTTAACGTTCATGTGAAGTTGCACACGGAATTGATGCTACGCTATGGATGGGGTGGGGATGGGGTTGGGTTGGGGTG